AGCTAAATTTTTGAACAAAGTTTGTTTCTTCAGATACACTACTACTAGAAAAATCTATAGAGGGGAGTGTTTATACGTAAATCTGCTTTTTGTAAAAAAATTCTTGTATGCTACAGTCTACAGTCTTCGTCAAAGAAAATTAACCTAACGACCACATCGTAGCCGCCGTAAGTGATGTTCCCGTACTTTTTGCTGTTGGGCCGCATCCGCCTATCTCGACTAATGATGTTCGTAGAGCAAGCCTTCGTTTGAAAAATTCTTTCAGCACTGGCCCTGACGGAATCCCTTCCGCGGTTATTAAGAACTGTATTGGAGTGCTGGCCGCATCTTTAGCATCCATCTTCAACCTCTCTTTGGATTCTGGGATCTTTCCCGACTGCTGGAAGGATTCTTTTGTTTTTTTCCTGTCGTCAAAAAAGGCAATAAGCATTCGGTGTCCAACTTTAACAACTTATACCTATGCTCGAAGAACAGCGCAATGTTTCCCTTTTGATGTAAAAGAAACTATGATACACAAAATGCAGTTCTCTTGCTAACGGGCAATCAAATAATGACTAATGAGTAGGTTGGTGTGGTTTCAGCAATCATAACTCTAGCGATTACGTTTCCCTACCTTTAGCCGTGTCTTGATTTATGAATGACCTCGAAACAACATTGTAAAAATCTGTAGCTTTCAAATGATTTCTCCTTGTCAAAAGCAGCTATATAACTTTCATTGGACCATTACCCTTGAGCAATCAACACTGACCACACATATAGATACATGTATGCTAGCCAAGTGGCACGCTTCATTAATCTCAACCGTCATTTTGGACATCCAACAACCCGGGAACAACGACGACAATGTAGACGCTCTCGTAGTAAATTTTATTGCAACTGTCTGACTCACCGTCTGGTCTGCTTTTGGGTCCACGTACCACGTGTAGCTTACTGAGGGACTTCCATTTGGATCAGTTGTTTTTTTTTACCATTTCCAACTTTTTCCACACGTTCTTGGTTCGTGTTGGAGTACCTTAAAGAGTTTTGTTTCGTTCGATTTACTAGCTGTATTTACGTGGGAAATTGTCATTATTTCTTAAGAAAACGAGTCGTCTCATTTTGACGGGATACGTTAACCTCTCAAATAGAGCTTCCATTTCTCGACGGTTTTCTCCATCCCGGGATTAGGGAAATACAAATTTGAAATCCCGGGAAATACCGGGATCCTGGGACGTTGACAAAGATTATAGAAATACATTGATGCATACTTGAATAAATTAAAAAAAAAATCAAAGAACACCCGCTCGTCAAAAGAAGATGGCTTGCTGTTCCTGTTACTGGACTTAGAAGCAATCCAAAGCAATGTTTTCGTGTGATGATATGTTTTGTTAGACAAATGTTGCAATAATCCATGATCTCCATGGTGTCACGAAGGCAAGAAGATAAACTCCAGTTGAGCAGCCTTTAGATTTGTTTGACCGAATTTTTTTTTTAATATGGTCACTTTAACGCTCTTGGGTCATTCGTGACTTATCCGGGGGTGAGATTTGAACTCGTGACTTTGGCGTGAGAGGTATGGATGCTAACCACTACGCCGGGGTCGCCCCCGGTTTGACCGAATTAAATTGGTAACTCTTAAGAGTTGATGAGTAGTTGAATGCCCATGACGAAATCCAAACTGATCATCTGCAAAAATTGAGTTCGCATTGATGTGAAGCATCATTCTCTTCAAAATTATCTTTTCAAAAAGTTTGCTTATTGAGGAAAGCGGACGGTAGCTAGACGCTTCAGCTGGATGTTTATCCGGCCTTAAAATTGGAACAACTTTTGCATTTTCCATTTTTCAGGAAAGTATGCCAAATGGAAACATCTGTTAAATAATTTTACCGAGAAAGACAAGGTAGTCTCTGGGAGTTTTTTGATGAGGATACAGAAAATTCCATCATCACCTGGAGCTTTCATATTATGAAACTTTTTAGTTATAGACCTTACTTCGCCCAAATCAGTCCCCCAGGAATCATCAAAAATATTTTCCCGAGAAAAAATATTGATTCTCAATAGGACTAGTAAGACCCAAACTTAAATTATGGGAATTCTCGAATTGCTCATCAAGTTTCTGAGCTTTTTCCTAAGGGCAGATAATCGCTTTTTAATTTGTTTTTGCAAATCCCGTCGGATAACTTTCATGGCAGGATCGCGTGTTCTTTGATATTGTCTCCTACGGACATTTTTAAGATGGATCAAGAGCTGAAGATCGTCGTCTATTATAACTGAATCGAATTTAACCTCGCATTTTGGTACTGAGGCAGCTGTAGAAGTAAATAGTCATAAATTTAAGAGCATAATTTACATAACCTTGGTTTGCAAATGAATGTTTGGATTGAAGCGAACGGGATCCCTACGTTGTGTTTTTGTGATACTGATTGATTAATTATAAAGAACACCGATTGTTTTGCCGTCTTGCCATGGCGGAGGCATACGACACACTGCACTGTTGTATTGTTTATTTGTATTCGTTTTTAAAGTAGCTACAGTGGGTAGGGTAGTTGTACATGTAGATGACGTTGCACAAACAAAGCTATATTCCATAAATGTTCGATATTGTTCCCAAATTATTTCTTCAAAAGTTACTGGAAGGTGATCAGAACCGAAACCAGCATGGCTACAAATTTGACATGAATCAGTTAAGACCAAATCAATATTGGAGGGATTTCTTGTCGAAGAAAAGCATGTTGGGTTGTTTGGATATTGAATAGTGTAATAACCTGAAGAACAATCATCAAACAGAATATTACCACTGGAATAACTTTGAGCATTATTCCATGAGCGACATTAAAATCATCAATAATGAAGAATTTAGACCTATGACGGGTAAGTTTCTGGAGGTCACCCTTGAGAAAATTCTTTTGCTGGCCTACGCATTGGAATGTCAAATAGGCAGCTATAAACGTCACTTGTCCAAATTTTGGTTCAACAGAAACTCCCTAAGTTTCAAAAACTTTGGTTTCAAATGAGGAAAGAATTTTATGTTTTTTCGTCTAGGAACAATGATGGCAAAGATGGTCAAAATAATGATCTTTAAAAGTCCGCTTATTTTACTAAAATCCACTAAAAAAATTTAAACATTGACCGTTTTACTGAAATTACTCAAACTTCATACAGACTCTTCAAATAAAGTCCAAAGCTATACTGATAAAGCAATAAATAGTTGTTCAACCACTAGCCAAGATTTCAAATATCTATCTACTCACAGCCTTTAAAAAAAAAATTCCCATACAGGTGTACGCTCAATTTTGAGATAAACTGTAGATCCACCGTTGTATAATTAACCACTTCATTCGAGCAGTTAAATTGACGTTCACTGCCACTCGAACTTTAAAATAAAACATTATTTTGAGATTTTTTCTTCTAGAACCACGAGAAAAGTAGCCGTCATTTTGAGCGTTTCATAAAAAATAGAACTTAGTTGGTCCAGTTTTGTGGAATGGCTGGTAGAAAGTCACGCTAAAACTGCTTGACAAAGTGGTCAATTGGCAATGTACCTGTGTTCTGAATGGGAATTGTGGGTTCAAATACCACCGGTGCCCTTAAGTTTTTTTTGCAAATTTTCTCACACACACGTCTTTTACCAATGATATGGGCTCACCTCTCAGTATGTTCAAACTTTCTCATAAACAACAAAAAAAAAAAAAAACTCGTGAAGGTTTTATACAAAAATATACATTCTGGAAAACTTGCTTGAACGCTGCAGTCCATTGCAAGAACTTCTATTTAAATTATTGCTTGAAACAAATGCAGAGGATGTAATAAATCCTCGTTAAATGTTAAATAAATTTGTTTTGCGTTTCACTTTAAAGGAGTAAAAGTGATTCTATATAAACAATTACGGGATGCACGGGATGCCGAGATTTAAAAATGTATATCCGGGTTTCAGAAATCCCGGGATTCTTCATCCTGGAACATCCCGGGATTGAAGGTCTACTCTCCAGAGCTTTTGCAGTCAATTGGAAGTTGCACTCCTGTGTTTTATATACCTAGCGTGAAACAAAAATATTTGTGAGCTTCAGACACCATCAAACACTTTTGATGGGTGGTGTTAAGACATGATAGCTGCAGGCAGCTGATATTGGATCCTCGTTTCATCAATGCTTTTATGAGCTGGTAGCCTTCTGTTTCGTGTGTACCGTGCAACTTATATTGGAGATAGTCTTTCGCCGTTGGGGTTCAATTGAGAAGGATTGCAAAAATCGGATTACACAGGAATGAGCTCGTTCTTTGTGATGGGATCAAACGCAAAGTGGACGACGAGCAATATAACGAAAAGCGAAGCAAATCCGTGAAATCAAAAAATCTTGTGGCATGATCGGAAAGACGCTGGGAGAGTTGAAGGGTGGTCAAAAGAAGCTCGTCTGGTGTATGATTATGGAACATTTTGTTGGGTTCCAAAGTAAATATGTGCTCATCTGATTATAACCGTACCATCAGTTACAGCAATGTTGGTTTACAATGCAGCCAATGAGAAATTGGGTTTATCGTAGCCCTATTTTCCTGCTACAAAAAGTAGCTGTTTCTACGCATATCCAGGACTGTCCTGTTATTTCCGGAACAATATTCAATATGCCACAGACGAGTGTCCAGCTGGGAAGCAAAGCAAACAAAATACGACACGCAGTAGGAAAAACTCATTTCCTATCCACAAGTGTGTTTTCATATCCCCAAGCGGCTTCGAACTAAATCTGACGTCACGTTATCCTTAATCAGTTGGACAACTGAAATAAAGCAAACTCACAGTATTTAGGTCAAACCTATTATAATAATTCGTTGGGTGCTAGCGATCGGACTCATAAATTAGTTTCATAATCGTTTGAGTTATGAACAAATCATGATTAAGCACATTCTTCGCAGCTGATGCTTGACTATTGGTATCTGCTCTTTCTCACTATCCGAAGCACTTCGACTGACACACATTTTCGACCCAAAAAACACTAACCGCTTTTCCGTTTCTTTTTCTCTCATTCCAGTGACATCAGCAGCAACAACATCTCTAGTTTACCAAATAAATCGTTCGATATGCTACCAAATCTAGAAGAACTGTAAGTATCACTACCAAAAACCACTTTGTGTCAGCGTTCCACTCTAGATTGGATAAATTTCCGACATCGATTAATCAATTCCATTCCAGAAGAACTCTACGATTAATTTACGAAGAGTTTCTCTGTATTTATTTACTGGATGCCACATGGACTGTTAAGTGAAACACGAAAATATTTTTGCAATTAAAACTTTTTCATTCTACACAGCCTGGGGTTGGCTAGAAAAATTCCATCAAGTCGTTTCCAAAGAACCAGCTACCGGTTTCCTCGTTTTCCTTTGCCTTTAGCGCCCTCAGGGTTTCTTTTCTTTGTGAATGAGACTTCAAATATAAGCAGGAGAAAGTGGTAGTTGCAAACAGAATCTTGATGAGGCACAAGTTGCAAACTGTTGCATCGGTGGACGGTGGAAGTGAGTGGGTAGACGGTATTATCACAGACAAACAGATATATCTCTCGGAAGAAAATTCTTCAAAACATATCGTCAAAGATATTTTGCATGCACACTAACAACCTCTATCATGCACATTCCCATTAATTTGCAACCGGAGCTTCCCTCGTTCATACATTTTTTCACTAGTTCCTTTTCCCTCGTTCTGTAAACTTGTCATCTGTGTTGAATAAAAACAAAACAGATGCTAGTCAGTGATGTCGGTGCTACGTTTTGCGTCAATTGCTGCAATCGAAGTGCTCTGCCTCCCGTTGGCGATACTGCCGTACCATTTTTGACTCTAGTTTTACGATGTTTTGAACAATGAACAAGAGTCCTCGGCTCTGTAAAGTTAATTCGATTGAGTTTTATCAAATAAATTAATTTATAAAAAAAAAGTGGTTTGACTGGAGACACATACCACATATCAATCTGAAGAATACAGAAAAATCAGCGCAATTTGCAGTTGATTTTTCTGCATTCTTCATATTGGTATGTGGTATGTGTCTCCAGTGAGATTCTTTGACCTCGTTATCATTTTCAAGAGCTGACTCTACTAAATTGACCTCCAAAATAACTGGCATCACTGGTATGTTTGAAATTTGGCACCTTACGTTAATTCAGTGGTACCACAATGACCAAATGAGAACACATTCCCAACTAAAACCTTATTTGCGAAGAATGTGATTATGAGAATTATGTCTGCTTGTCTGTGGTTTTATGTTGGTCGGTGGTACATTGAAAATAGATTCTTAATTAAAGTTTGGCAACTTTCTTAGAAATGCCGTGCAAATTGAGGTGAATTGGTGAAAACAAGTTAGTGAATCGAAAAATATATTTAGAGTTTCCAGTCCGGGGTCTCGGGATTTTTGAATCCCAGGATTTTATCTCTTCCCTTCGATTGGCGATTATTAAGATTTATTGAAAGTATTACTCAAAGACAGCACTTTTAGTTTATGATCGTTTTAGCTAGAAGCACTCATTTAATATAAGGTCTAGCAGTGAAGCAAACTGTAAACATTCCGACCAAATGATACAATCCCTTTTCTTTTTGGTACATAGTCGAAAATCAGCATAAGCCTTGAGATATTCCTCATTCAGGCATACAGCCATTTGGCAGTATTTAATTAATCATACCTTCACTGATGAAAAGACTCAATATTCAAAGCTTCACCAGAGTCCATCCTTGGATTGTTATCTCGTTCCGTTGTAAAATTCTCCTTCCGGAGGAGCTTCTATCCGTCCCGATTCCTTTCATGGCTTTCATCGTTTTCCCACTCTGTTATTTCCTAACTAAACTGTCTTAGAGGTAAATGATGTAAAATGCGCCAGCGGGATAATGTGACCAACAGCATTTTTTCATAGACTTTTCAATCAAAATTTTATAAGCCGGGAGGAAATGCTATACCCATATGAACATGAAACATTATTGTGATAATTTATTAGCTAGAGAAAGTTCTGAAGAGGATAGATTGATAGTATGAAAATTGAACAGAAGTTGAAATTGATTGAGGGCTATTAAAGCGTCAAAACCCCTCATTCATCCATGTATGACCTAGGTAAAGGAGTGCGCTTGCAAAAGATTGATGAGTTGCGGGAGAGGTTTTGCGAGGTATTAGTAGATATTCAGGCTCACGACGACTTTGAAGATGAGGATGAGGCTTTCGATAAGACTAGATTAGTTCTTATGGATCAGGCTAAGGCACTTCAGGGATCTGAAGAAGCAGAACATTCGATGCGAGCGAATAAGACGCTCACGCACGAGCACGATACACTTGATCCTGTTCGCTTACCCCAGATCAAGCTCCAGGTTTTCAACGGGGATATCGATTAATGGATCAGTTTCCGCGATGTGTACGTTTCACTCATCCACAGAGAGACCGACTTGCCTAAAATGGAAAAGTTCCACTATCTAAAGGGTTGCCTTCAGGGAGAACCAATTTTCCAAAATTTGTTTAATTTGCCAAAATTGTCCAAGGAATTGGTGGCTGACCTGCACACTCTGATAAACGGCTTCGAAAGAGTGGTGCAGAATCTGGATCAAGTGATCAAGCCCGAAGATTATAAGGACCTTGTACTGGTAAACATACTTTTAACCCGATTGGGCTCAGCAACCCGCAGAGGGTGGGAAGAACATTCTTTGACCAAGGAACAAGATCAGATATGGGAATTGTCGCGTTTGTCATTGACGCACGACAAGATACATTAAAAAATGGTCATCCTGGAAAATTCTCGTCAAACAACAATTTCTTGTCGCACGACAAGATCACCACGACAAAATCAAGAATCCATCCAGTCTCGACTATCTATTCTAGTCATATGTCACTCATTCTGTTCTCTGAGACAAAGTCTATATAGGTTGTTTAAAAAGGAGGATCACGACAAGAAACCATCCATTCTAAAACGGAGGTTAGATTTAAAACAAGGCCGGAAATAATGTTAATTTCCTTCAATATTGGTATTTCCTATTTCAGAAAAAAGTGGGAAATACTGCCAAATACCCTTCAATATGAATATTTTCGGAATCGAGATGACGTCTCGAGACCGAAAATCGATATCCAGCGCCATCTTGAAATCCAAGATGGCGGCTTCCGATTTCAGAAAAAGTGGGAAATACTGCCAAATACACTTCAATATGTATATTTTTGGAATCGGGATGACGTCTCGAGACCGAAAATCGATATCCAGCGCCATCTTGAAATACAAGATGGCGGCTTCCAATTTTATAAAAAGTGAGAAGTACTGCCAAATACACTACAATATGTATATTTTTGAAATCGGGATGACGTCTAGAGACCGAAAATCGATATCCAGCGCCATCTTGAAATCCAATATGGCGGCTTCCAATTTCAGAAAAAGTGGGAAATACTGCCAAATACACTTCAATATGTATATTTTAGGAATCGAGATGACGTCTCGAGACCGAAAATCGATATCCAGCGCCATCTTGAAATCCAAGATGGTGGCTTCCAATTTCAGAAAAAGTGGGAAATACTGCCAAATACACTTCAATACGTATATTTTTGGAATCGGGTTAACGTCTCGAGACTGAAAATCGATATCCAGCGCCATCTTGAAATCCAAGATAGCGACTTCCAATTTCAAAAAAAGTGGGAAATACTGCTAAATACCCTTCAATATGGGTATTTCCGGAATCGGGATGACGTCTTGAGACCAAAAATCGATGTCAGAAGCCATTGTTTAATCCAACATGGTGGCTCTCAGATTCTGAAAAACTGTCATATACTCTACAATATGTATGGGTATTTACGGAACGGGTTCGACGAAAATATATGTCTGACACTATTTTGTAATCGAATATGGCGGCTCTCAGATTCAGAAAAACTATCGAATTTGGGTATTTTCGGAACAAGTACTACGCGTACATCCTGAAAATCGAGGTCTGACGCCAGTTTTAAATCCAAGATGGTGGCAAGTGACTTCAGAAAAAAAAAACTGTCAAATACCCTATAATATGGATATTTTCGGAACTGGGTCGACGTGTACATCCCTAAAATTGATGTCTGACGCCATTTTGGAATCCAACAAGGCGGCCGTTGTTCTCTGAAAAGCTCTCAAATTCTACGATATGGATATTTTCGGTACAGGACGCGTGTATGATGCCGAAAATCGATGCCCAATACCATTTTTGAAATCCAAAATGGTGGCTCTCAGATTCGGAAAAACTGCCAAATACCCTACATCATGGGTATTTTCGGAACAGAACTACAATTTATGTCCAACACCATTTTGTAATGCAAGATGGCGGCCATTGACTTCAGAAAAACTGTCAAATACCCAATAAAATAGATTTTTGAGATGACATGTAGATGCCGAATATCAATGTCCGATACCATTTTGAAATCCAGGATGGCGGCTTCCGGTTTCAGAAAAAGATATAAATACAGTCAAATAACCTACAATATGAGTATTTTTGGAAAAAGGAATGACGTCTAGATAATTACATCTAGAAATAGAAAATGAGTGACCTGAAATCCAAAATGGCAGCTACAGGATACAGGAAAAGTTGGAAATACTGTAAAATATACATGAATGTGGGTATTTTGGGATTCGCGGTGGTAACTACGGATTAGCAATTACTGTCCAATGTCATATTGAATTCCAAGATGGCAGCTTCTGGTTGCAGATAAACTGGATAGTAATGTTAAATACCCCCACAACATGGGTAGGCTCAAAATCGATGTCCAACTGTCAAATACCCTTCACTAGTCGGAAAATTGATGGCTGACGCCATTTCGGCATTTCAATTCTCGGTATCTTTGAGCCGAAAATATCCATATTGTAAAGTATTTTACAGTTTTTCCCACTTTTTCTGAAATCGGCAGCCACCATCTTTGATTTCAAGATGGCGCTGGAAATCGATGTCCGGTCCCAGGACGTCATCACGATTCCGAAAATATATATATTGAAGGGTATTTGGCAGTATTTCTACTTTTTTTTTCTGAAATTGGAAGCCGCCATCTTGGATTTCAAAATGGCGTCGGAAATCGATTAACAGGTTTTAGACGTCATTCCTATTCCAAAAATACCCATATTAAATGCCGAAGGGTAT